CATTTGTATAAGCATAACACATAAAAGAACTAGAAAAGTGCAAAACCAATTCAGATTTATTCTTGATCCCCCCCCCCAAAAAAAAAATTGATTTACTTCCGACAGCCTTGTAGAACGGATAGAATTATCCAGTATAAATAAAGTTAGTTTAGTTTAAGTAGACATATACCTTCTGATAGGAAAATTCAGGAACATTTGATATTTGCAATTGCGGAATGTAATTTCTAAATTAAATAAAACAATCTCTTACTACGAAGAACAAATATTTCTTGGCACGCGAGACAATTCATACTTACATGGCAAAAAACTGGATCTTATATTTTGTGGAACTTGGATTGAACTCCGGTTTTACAACATTGTGCTCGCATTGCTAAAAGATATCGTAAAATTTGAAATTAAATTTATATGTAGAATTTGCGTTACGACCTTCGCGCGAAAAGACAATGAATGCTGTTAATCTTTCTTGGATAGTTCAGACACAAACCACGACAGCTTTGTATTTGAAATAACTACATACCCTGCAACGTTGTGAGCGTTTTGCTATCAAATGTTTATGTCTCGGATAAAAATCACTAAAAAAAGAAAGATATAAAAAACTCTTAATACTAACGATTTATACTGGACAGTTCTATCAGTTCTTAACTGTACTAGGAAAACGTTTGTGATGTTTGGTAGAGTCAAACTGGAAGCACTCTTCTCACATGTGACTGAAGTGAAATTATAATCAGACAACTGGATATTGCAGGAATCAAACCTCAGTCACATGAAAGACACGTGCACTAACTACTGGGCAACTATAGCAAATGTTGAAAAACATTATTATCTTGCCATGATATTTGATAAGTTTATATATGATAAGATTATCTTGCCATGATATTTGCTGTGTTGGTGTAGCGTACTCAGGTGAATGTAGATGCTTGTGATGTTACTCTGATGTTACTCTGAGGATATACACTCAGAGTAACATCGCAAGTTTATCTTACCATGTTTGTGAATATTGAAAATCAGGTTGCGCCAACATCTGAGACACGGATGAAGACTTCTCAAGCTTGACAACCTCGGTGTACAGATCTTGACGTGATGGCTGTTCGGTCGCTTCAGCCGGTTCAGAAAAAGAAATCTCTTCTTCAATGCCGCCATTCCTGAGCAAAACGCACGAGTTAAGCATGGTTAGAGGCAGTACGTATGTTGGAATATCTGATGTTTTACACCTTCCTTTTTCCAGTTCTCTTTCCCTCCCCTGGCGCCGCTATGCGCAGACTAAATATCTTATCACGAATTGCATGAATGCCCAGGTCAAACGAGAGTTGACGAGAGTTGTCACTATTTCAAGCTCTAGATTAACAAAATACGAAGGGCCTTCGCTCGAAACGTTTTTAGAATAGAATAGAATAGAGTAGAGTAGAGTAGAGTAGAGTAGAGTAGAGTAGAGTAGAGTAGAGTAGAGTAGAGTAGAGTAGAGTAGAGTAGAGTAGAGTAGAGTAGAGTAGAATAGAGTAGAATAGAATAGAGTAGAATAGAGTAGAATAGAGTAGAATAGAATAGCGTAGAATAGAATAGAATAGAATAGAGTAAAGTAGAATAGAATAGAATAGAGTAGAATAGAATAGAGTAGAATAGAGTAAAGTAGAATAGAATAGAATAAAGTAGAATAGAATAGAGTAGAATAGAGTAGAATAGAGTAGAATAGAATAGAGTAGAATAGAGTAGAATAGAGTAGAATAGAATAGCGTAGAATAGAATAGAATAGAGTAAAGTAGAATAGAATAGAATAGAATAGAAAATAGAATAGAATAATTTATTTAATGTCGAATGACAATCACTCGAGCCAGGGGCTCATGATAGAAGTGCTCGACAAATACAAAAGTTTTAGTTCAATCGGCAGTTTTCTAACAAAATAAAGGTTTAAAGAGTGTTTCAAAATAGAATACATGATAGTGTTGGGAAAGCATAAAGAACGGCTAACCAAGGTCACGTGACTGCAAACTCTCATGCACTTTCATCCAGGTTTAACTATGGTTCATGAAATAATCTGAATACAAACCCTTTGTTTAACGAAAGACTTCTCATTAATGACAAACTACTCCGTTTCTTTATCAATCCTAAGTTACCAGTCTAAATAAAAGCAAATCAGGTCAAAGTGGAAGCATTCTTCTCTCATGTGACTGAGGAGGAATAGACCCTTTCGATAATTACGTCACACATACATTTTGGTCCTGGAACCTCGCTCTCATTAGTAAATTACGCAAGGTGATTGGCTCACTGTTCATGAGAGCGAGGCTCCCAGGTCAAATGACGTCATTATCGAAAGGGTGGATTACAATCTGGCAATTGCCTATTGCACGAACAAATTCTTACTTTTGTTTGTGATGTTACTCTGAGTGTGCATCCACACCGGGCAAGCTGAAAAGTTAGCTTGACCACGGTGGGAATCGCACCCGCGACCTTTGGGATACTAGTCCAATGCTCTGCCAACTGAGCTACGATGTCAAGTCGGTTCGAGTTGATGATATTTCGGAACTGAGTCTAGTTCTTCGATATCAGTGTATTCTATGATGATGTATTCTATTGCATTCTATTCACTAGAGTACATAACACGAACACACACAAAATACTTACTTTTGTTGCAAAACTTGAAGATGCCTAGAAATAAAAAGTGTCATGTTTTCACTTGCGGCTCTGGTTTGTTTAGGCAAATTATCATTGCTTACTATTTTAAAATGCACACGACTCATGCAATTCGCAAGGAGATTTCACCATTACATACTACACGGTAAAAATTACAGTTTTGTATCACAATAACGTGATCGCATGACCGAAATTGTTAAAGGCAACGTGAATATTTTTAGTGTGAATAATTCGTAAAGAAAAGACGAAGAGGAGTAGAAGGCAAGATAATGTGTTTTTATTATGCTAATTTACTAATAAACGTTGTCTCAGCCGAGAAAATCAAAGCTATAGTTTATGTAAATGATTTTTTATCGCATATAAAACCACCGATTTCCTTTGGCTTTGTCTTTTCTTCATGAATTATGCATGAGTTTTTTAACCTCATCAACTACCATCCACTGCCACATTAACAATGTGCATCTATTGTAGGTCATATTCAGTCCAGGGCTCGAATTTTATCGCGGCAATTGCCGTAGAGGGAGAACAAAATGCCGTGGATCATTGCGGCAACGACGGCGATTTTTTGCCGTGCTGAGTGCAAATTTTATACTATTCACTGTGCATTACTACTTTGATACTTGAATTCAGATGTTGATCAAATCATGCGTAAATCACAATTTTAGTCTCAGTTTTCTTCGAAAAAAAAACACTAAAGAAATACGTAGACATGTTTCTAGCTTGTCAAAAATCCAAAGTAACAATAAAATTAAAGTTTTATTACAATAATTTGAAAAATGCCGTGGAAACGGCCAAAATTGCCATAGACAGCTGTTACGTTCTACGGCAATTTTTAATGCCATTGCCGTCGATTGATTTCAGGGAAATTCGAGGCTGAACAGCTCATATCAACTATAATGACATGCATCTATTGTAGGTCATGTTAACACCAATAACACGTACTGAAATGTGAATGTAGTTCTTTTTCTTCAATTTTAATTTTTCACGATCTTGTTGTTCTTTCGTTGCCAGTTTTTTGTAGAAGTCCACCAGGTTATTCATCTACAGATATCACATTTAAAGATGGTTAAACAGATGAGAACTGTGCTCATTTCAGTGAAAATATTATTTGAAAACACATACTCTCTTTGACACTGGATTATCAGGTTCTTGCCAACCACTGCTTGCTAAAAAATATATTAAATACTAGATAACAATGAAAAAATAAAATGGTCATGGAATTCTGTGGTTCGTTCTGGCTTTTGATTCAAATACATGAAATACCTGATGACCTATACTGAAAACTAACAGTTTGCAGTTAAGGCTAGTGAGAAGCAACATTTCAAGTTTCAGCAAACAACTCTGTTGTGCTATATGACCTACCATTATTTCTGTCTGGGATAGCAACGTCACGTGTTGACCATCGACAAAACCCACACGCCAAATAAAATACTTTTTTCGCTGTTGTTTTCTCCTCAGGATTGTCCGAAGGAATTGCAATGGCCGTCGCACGAGTGGACAAGGCATTGCCACAGGACGGACATTCAAAACAATTGGCACATCTACAATTCAGAATTCAAGGGTCAATTTTCACTCTGCTGGCAGTGGTGTATCCAAGGGGGTAGGGGGGATGAAGGGGGCAACTGCCCCCCTCCCTTCTACTGTTTTTCTTTCTTTGAGGAGGAGGATGGTGCACATCTAGAAAGCTCTAGCTATGTCGCTATGTCTCCCACTGAATTGAAATGTTGACACTCTCAAAAGTGATTTATTAAAACATTTACATTTTTCTTTGAGTGCTTCCACAATGCAGGAAATGCCATTTCAAAGACCCAAAATTCAATTTCTTTCCAGGGGGGTATGCCCAGTATGCAACAGGAGGAAGCTTTGCTTAAAACTTTGAAGTTGTTTTGTATTTTTCAAGTATCATATTTACTCAATTGAGCGTCCCCCCCCCCCCCAATGACCACTGTATTTGAGATCAATTTTTTTTAAAGACTTGGTGACATTTAGGGACAAAGACATTTAAAACTTGTTTATTTTATTGTTAAAAGTTCTTCTTGTAATTCAAGAGTGCCACCCACGCATGAGCACCACATCTGAAGCTCTGAAAATGTAAAGAGTGCCACGGTGGTCAAACGAGTGAATACGGTAGTTGAATCTTGTACAGTGCTTGCAGCTATCCTCGATTAGCATGTTATTAACTAATGTCCACAGTCCACCTAGGGATATCAGGCAAAAACTCATACCTGTTCTTCTTCAGCTTGGCTTCAGCAGACGGCATGTTTTCCAAACAGTTTGGACAAAAGTAAGAATCAGTCTAGTTAGGAAGGAAAGCAATTTTTGGCTGCAGCAGAAATTCCATACAAATGTACAGTAAAAACAAAATTTTCAAAACGCCGTAACTCGCGCCTTGAATGTCCAAACATTGTGAAATTTTCAGTATAGATTAATTTGAGAATGAAGATTTTAGTTATGTGGTCCATTTCTGTCAAAAATCGATAACGCGAACTCGGATCGGAGAATTAGAAGTACATCATTAAAGATTAAAGACCAAAAGTGTCATGATCAGATGATCTTGACAATGTCTGTCAACTTTAATATGCTATTCGCCTATTCAGTTATTTAATAATCATTTGCAGATAATATTCAGGAATAAAAAGCAAAATCTTACATTTTAAATACTAAATCAAGTCTATTTATTCACAATCATCATATATTAGGTGCTATAATTCATTATAAACTCTGAGTCTCTGGCCTCGTCTGTGACAGTACAATTTCTGTACAAATTTTATACTAAAACACTTAACGATCGTCACATACCTCAGTATAAACACACAGCTGGCATCGTACTTCAACACAATAACGACAAAAATACAAACTCGTGAAAGGTGAAGCGAGTTTACATGAACAAAAGTACAGAACACTCCCTGGCCAAAATAATTCGGCCATCTTGGATCCAGATATCGGCGAACAATCGGAATAAATTCCGAGAATTGCCGAAGATATATTCCCGAGGTCTCGATCAGAAGCAGCCCAAGATCAAAGGTCGAGGAAGGTTAAAACAGGCACTTGTCTGCACTTGTGAGGAGACTTTCTCATCAATTTTAAGCAACTGTTAGGCCCGGTTTAGACGGCGAACTTTTCATGCGCCGAATCTAATTGTCGTAGATACGGCAAAATATCGGAAGCTGATTTAGACGTCGAACTTAATTGTACCGTACCAAATTGCGAGGACACTATATTGGACATATTTACAATGCAAATATATGATAATCATGTTATGATGTTAAAAA